GGGCAGCCCGCTGCCGCCCCTCGACACAGGGGACGCAGGTAGGACCAGGCCCCGGAGGAAGAGGAGGGAGGGACCGGGAAGACCAGAGGACAAGGACACGGGAGGCCATGCTTCAGAGGCGAAGCAGGGAGGGGTGACCAAGGCGGTGGTGCCAGAGGAGAGTCTCGTGAGACAGGAGGCGACACGAGCAGGGGGCAGACTCAGGACCAGACCTGGACGCTACAGCAAACACCTGACCCGACGCAGCTACCTGACTAGACGCAGTGACTGGAGGAGACGCAGTGGTCATTGTGTACAGGCTCGACCCCGGCCGACGTGTGAACGTGGCCAGGTGTCGGCCTGTCCGAGCGTCCGTGCAGTGGGTCACCCGCTAACTCGCAGGCGTGAACTGGTGAACCCCCGCATCCTGTAGGTCAGCTCCATTCACCAAGTTTGTAGAGAACGAGGGAGGTAAAGCCCTGACAGGGTGCCAGAGGGGGCCGCCGGACACGGGAGGACAGTGGAGAAGTGAGCAAGGACAGCACCCCCAGAGGGGTTTGCTAGAGAGACTGCAACTGGCCGACCAAGCGGCGTGAGTGTGGTGCTGTCTCGAAAGAAGGAGCGAGAAGCCCCGAGTCAAGTGTGAAGGTGTGGGAGGCGAAGCCGACGCAGTACCTGAGAGCGCAGACTCACCAGCACCTAGAGCAGCAGCCTCGCTAGCACCTAGAGCAGTAGTCTCAATGTCCGGGTCGGGCGAGAAAACACCGGTAACAGGGGCCGGGGCCGCGGGGAAGGCTACGGGGCCGCTAGGGCGGCGGATCGGGGCCGGGAAGGGCGGCGCCGGGGCCGCAGGGGTATGGCGACGGGTCGCTAGGGCGGCGCGACGCAGCCGCTAGGGCGACGCGACGGGATGGGGGCCGCGAGGGCGACAAGGTCGAGAAAGGGGGAGCGCGACTAGGCAAGGGCTGAGTGCGCTCCGGGCAGGAAAAAAAAATCGTATCGGTGGGCCCTATGAACAGTTCCTACGAGGGAACCTGCTCTGATACCATGAGGAAAACTAGAATGAGAATGAATGAACTATGAAAGAGTTGGGTACAAGTACTAACCCTGATTGGGTTGTACCCCTTACGGGCTACCCCACTACAGCCTACACAAAATGCATAAGCTATGATGTTCTGACAGCCCTGCGATATTTCTTCATGAAGGACGAGATCGAGAAGGGCAGACTCGAGCTGTCTTACTGCCCCACGTCTGAGATGGCAGCTGATTACTTGACCAAAGGCTTGGCAAGCAGAATTTTGAGTACTGCATGCTGCTGATTGGACAAGGCCACGTCACCAGCAACGACACTCCAAAAGCGAAGGGGAGTGTTGGAAACAAGTGATTTAAGCGCCTCTATCGTGTCGAAGCACTAAGTGGTAAACGAAGCGAAATACAGTGAAGCATCGGCGAGTCAACACTGGAGGTTGAGTGAAGAAACCGCTGGAGGTTACGCGAAAGTCAAAGGTCAGCGACCTTTGACCTGACAAGTATAGCACGACAGCAAGGACAAACAACTGACTCGTAATTGAGCAGTTGCCCGAGTCGTCACTGTATCGAACCGCAACAGCAACAGTAAAGAGTTATTTTACTGTATCTCTTCATATTCCTTGTACTCCCCTAAAACCTTGTATCCTCTTGTGTTAATCAATCTACTTTGCCCCCACATACTAGCGCAAGGTAGAACCAGAGTTGTTCCTACTATTTACACACTTATCACACTTATCATTAAGCGCTTCCGCTATTACATTGTTCCTACTCAGAGTTTAGTCCTACAAAGATCCTAAGGGCTTTTCAGCCCAACATAAAACACTAAAAAAAATATGCCATATGAAAAGACCCGGGTACTATTTTTTTTTTCCTTTGTTAAGACCCCCCAGCCCCCCCCCCCCCCCCCCCCCCCCCCATATTTTTAGGGATTTAGCATAAGACCCTAGGGTCCAAGCCCTCAAATATCAAGAAAAAAACCCTGAAACTCCTGATTTTCAGGGTATTTTTTTGTACCTACCCTGATTTCTCTATGTTCAGATTTTAGAGAGACTGATATTTCAGCCTTTTTTTTCTCGAAGGGGATTGATTCTTCAGCTTTATATAGAAGTGCAAACTGAATGCACATTCCTATCAGAATGTTATTCTCTAGCCTGTAGTGGGGTGCTCTATAGCGAGTACAACCATCTAGGGTTTGCTATATGTATCCTCATTGCTGCTAGTGAAACCTCCTTCTTTGCCTAAACTTTCACTTGCCTAGCTAGGGCTCACCAAGCTATGGCTCCTAACTATCCCTACTATTCTCACATGGTTTCAGAGCACTCACGCTCCCGACCTGTGGGCCCTACTGCTGCTTCCGCTGCCCTACTCTATGTCGCGCGCCACGGGGCGCGCGCCTCCTATTTTTCATCCCGTTGTGAGAATTGAAATGAGAATGAGTGGCTAAGGAATGGAATGTGGTACAAATATGCAACCCTAGAAATGTGTACCCCATATAGGCTACCTCACTACAGCCTACAGAACATTATGAATTGACACACCCCCATAGGCAAAGTGGAAGAGAACAAGGGGTCACAAGACCAGTCAAGCAGAACAAAGCAAAGCTCAGGGTGGATCACAAGTCACCACACATTCCGAGCACAAGTTCAAAGCCAGAAGGCCAGTTCACATGCAGGAGCACATATATATATATAAAAGGCTAAACAAGCAAGTGCAGGAGTATATATATGTGACAGTACAAGCAAGGTCAAGAAGTGAGCAAGTGAGGCAAGGCAAGGCACAAGACCAAGCTCAATACAGGAGCGCTCATGATCACAAGGCGCAAGTGCCTTAGTAAGATATCAGCAGTGTTGGCCTCAGAGGCCATGTACGCAAGTCGCAACCTGACCACGCTGCTGCAGCTCACGAGCAAGAAAGTAGCGAAGAGCAATGTGCTTCGTTCTGTGCTCCAGTCTCTGCTACCGACACAAGGCCAGCATGGCCTTGTTGTCTACGTACAGCACTGGAGGAGAACGAGGCACCTCTCCAAAGTCAGTCAGCAGGTAGGTGAGCCAGCGAAGCTCCTGAGCAGCCATGGCTCCTGCGTAGATCTCAGCCTCACAACTGGAGCCGAGAACGGAAGACGAGCGAGTAGCCCTCCACGAAACAAGGCCAGAACCAGGCTGAAGGTGTAACCCTGTGACGACCGCTGTGTAGCCTGGTCATCAGCCCAAGAAGCGTCTGGGTGCCCAGTGAGGGCCACTGGACTCTGCCCTCCAAGCACTAGCCCCATGCCCGACGTACTGCACAAGTAGCGCAACACCTTCTTTGCTGCAGTCATGAGCTCCGGTCTGTGTCTCCCAGGAGCAACATAGCGTGCAAGAATGCTAAGAGGGTATGCAAGGTCAGGTCGTGTGCAGGTCATCAGGTACATGAGGTAGCCAACAAGCTCTGGGTACGGGCTACTCGACTCTACGGACTCATCCGAAGGCAGAGCTGAGAGTGAGTGGCGAGTAGACAGAGGAGTGGCCTGAGGCGAGGAGTACGTGAAGCCGAAGCGTTGAAGGACCTGCTGCACCATGTGTGACTGAGTCAGGGTAATGGTGCGGCGTGCTCTGTCCTGGGTGATCTGCAAGCCAAGGTAGCTGCGCAGTTCACCCAGGTCTGTGCACGTGTGTCTCTTCTGCAGCTCGGACTTCACGTGGGCGAGTCCAGCAGTGTCAGCAGTGGCAAAGACCAAGTCGTCGACGTACACGAGGATGTAGAACGGCGACAAAGAGGTGTCGGTGCGCAGAACAGCGACGGGTCGGCAATAGAGGGAGCAAACCCAAGAGCCGCAAGCGTAGTCCTCAGTGTGTCGTGCCACTCACGCGGTGCCTGGCGGAGACCGTAGACTGGCCGCCGGAGGCTCCACTGGGTGCCAGGAGGGAAAGTCCCAGTGAAGCCAGGTGGGCGGCGCAGCCAGATCTCCTTATGCAGGCTACTCTGCAAGAAAGCAGTGCTGAAGTCAAGAGAGTGAAGCTCGTAGTCGCGCTGAGCAGCTATGTGCAGCAGCACCCGAAGAGTGGTCTTCTTCGGGGTGGGAGAGAAGGTCTGAAAGTAGTTTACTCCCTGCCGCTGACTGAAGCCACGAGCCACGTACCGCGCCTTGAAGACACGTGGAGAACCTGGCGGCCGCTTCACCCTGAAGATCCACATGCCACTAACGATGTTCGCCCCAAGTGGGGGAACCGCGTCAACGTAGGTGCCTGTGGACTTCCAGGAAGCCATCTCTGCATCCATAGCTGCCTGCCACTGAGAGGAGTAGGGACCCTCTACGGCCTCCGCGTAAGAGCGCGGAGTCGGAATGTCAAGTGCATCCGGGTGTCCCTCGGGGGTAAGCAGTACTGACACGAGATGAGGTGAAGCAGCAGCCAGACACTGGAACTCCTCCTGCCTGTCCTCAAGGACGTCCGTGCCAAGGGCACACTCACCCCTGACGGACGGAGGACAGACAGACTCACACTCAGCGACAAGGACTAGCTCAGCAACTAGGGCAGACGCTCCCTCAGCAACAAAAGAACCTCTAGCTGAACCTAGCGACAAGACTAGCTCAGTGTAGTCTAGACGACAGCGAGCAGCAAAGTCGACAAGCTCAGCAACTAGGGCAGACGCAGCAGTGGACTCAAAAGAAGGGTCAGTGACGTCAGTAGCAAGGAGACGCATGACAGTAGGACTCGCAGCACGAAGAGAGTCCGACTCCGGGTCCGGCAAGAGCAAGACTCAGGAGGAAAAGGCAAAGGGGCACGCAGAGGAGCAAAGGACGGACGCAGAGACATCCGGTGCGTGCCAGGGACAGGAGGAGGACGCTGACGCGAACTGCGACCACTAGTACAAGCAGCACGGACAGGCGACGCAGGGCGAGACGCAGGCTCACGACGCTCAGCAAGACATCCAGTAGGACCAGTGTAGGGAGACGGAGCAGGCAGTGGGGAGGCCGCTGTAACTGTAACTGCAACGGGACAAGCTGTGACACTCTAAGGGAGGAGGAGGACCAGTAGAAGACGGGAGACCAAGAACCTGCTGAAGGAGCGGAACGAAGTACGGCCGAGGCCGCGCGGCGACTCCAGACACAGCAGGGACAGCACCAGCACCCCCAGTGGCAGCACCAGCACAAGTAGCAGCTCCAGCTCCAGTACCTCCAGCAGCACCAGTAGTACCCCCAGCAGGACCGCCTCGAGGACCGACAGCAGGAGCCTCCGCGCCAACACCCGCAGTAGCTCCAGCTCCAGAAGTACCCGCAGCCCAGCAGCTCCAGTACTCCCAGTACGAGCACCTCCGAGACCCGTGGCACAAGCTCCCTCAGCAGCAACAGAACCTCCAGTACCCGCAGCACCTCTAGGTCCAGCAGCTCGCCTCCAGCGCACTGGCAAACCACTCACGCAGCTCCTGTGGAGAGAGTGGCTCTCGGCACGACGAAAGCACCCGGAGAACCGCCAGGCACAGCACCAGCAGGCCTAGCTCCCTCAGGCTCCGCACCCCCAGGCTCAGTACCTCCACGCGTAGCACCCCCAGGTTCAGCACCCCCAGGCTCAGCACCCCCAGGCGTAGTACCCCCAGGCTCAGCACCACCAGACTCAGCACCCCCAGTAGTAGCACCCTCACGCTCAGCACCCTTGGGCGTAGCACCCACACGCTCAGCACCCCCAGAGTGAGCACCCCCAGGCTTAGCACCCTCAACAGCACCAGAGTCACCAGTAACCTCGACAGGCTCGACTGCGTCTACCTGGGACACACCTGAATGGGCAGGACCCTGAGGGGGGAGGGGGTCTACCGGGGGGGGACCTGGCACAAGGAAGAGCGGTGGTGGGGGAGGGACGGAGTGCGGTAGGGGAAGAGGCGGTAGTAGGGGACCGACTCGTCAAAGGTGACGTCCTGGGAGGACAGAACACGGCGAGAGGTGGGGTGGTAGAACAGCCACCCTGGCGCGTCAAGGGGGGAGCCAAGGAAGACCCAAGGAGCAGCACGAGGGGACAGCTTGTCCGCAGACAAGTTGCGGACAAACGCCCGAGATCCCCAGACACGGAACGCAGACGCATCGCCTACCTTTTCCGTCCACAGCAAAGCCGGGGAGGTCTCCGGCATGGAGACACTGGGGTGAAGGTTGATCTGATGCGCCGCGTACCGAACCGCAAACGGCCACAGAAATGGGGGGCAGCCGCATGCATCATGGACGTACGGGCGACGTCCATGACCATGCCAATGCGGCGCTCAGCAATCCCATTTTGCTGTGGAGAGTCCGGAAGCGTAAAGGTCTGGCGGATGCCTCGCGCATGACAGTAGGCTCGCAGAAGGCCAGAGGAGAACTATCCGCCTCGGTCAGAGTGCAGACGCAAAGCAGGAAAGTCCGAGCCAAAGCTCCTCTGGGCTGGAGACGCGCTGCGCGGATCCAGTCGATCAACACAATCAGTGACATCACCCTTGCTGCGCAAGGGGAAGACTGTGGTGTAACGCGAGTAGTCGTCAACCACCAACAGGAAGTAACGCTCATGACCCTGTCCACGGACGCGGGCCGGGCCCCTCACGTTGATGTGAAGCGTCTGCAGCGGGGCCTCTGTCGGGGGAAACTGAGAGGAGCAAGGGGCAGCCCGCAGCCGCCCCTCGACACAGGGGACGCAGGTGGGGCCAGGCCCTGAAGGAAGGTGAGGGAGGGACCGGGGAAGACCAGAGAGACAAGGACACGGGAGGCCATGCCTCGGAGACGAGGCAGGGAGGGGTGACCAAGGCGCTGGTGCCAGAGGAGAGTCTCGTGAGACAGGAGGCGACACGAGCAGGGGGCAGACTCAGGACCAGACCTGGACGCTGCAGCAAACACCTGACCCGACGCAGCTACCTGACCAGACGCAGGGACAGGAGGAGACTCAGTGGTCGGGGTGTACAGGCCTCGACCCCGGCCGACGCGGTAAACCGTCGCCAGGTGCCGGCCTTTGCGAGCTTCCGAGCAGTGGGTCACCCGCTGACGCGCAAGAGTAAACTGGTGAACCCCCGCATCCTGTAGGTCAGCACCACTCACCAAGTTCGTAGAGAACGAGGGGAGGTAAAGACCAGACAAGGTGCCAGAGGGGGCCGCCGGACACGGGAGGACAGTGGAGAAGTGAGAAAGGACAAGACCCCCAGAGGGGTCTGCCAGGGAGACTGCAACTGGCCATCCAAGTGGCGTGAGTGTGGTGCTGGTCTCGAAAGAAAGAGCAAGAAGCCCCTGAGTGAAGTGTGAAGGTGAGGGGGGCCGAAGCCGACGCGGTACCTGCGAGCGCAGACTCACCAGCACCTGAGGACGCAGACGCACTGGCACCTAGAGCAGCAGCCTCACTGGCACCTAGAGCAGCAGCCTCACCAGTACCTAGAGCAGCAGTCTCAATGCCCGGGTCGGGCGGGAACACCGGGTAACAGTCACCCTCATTACTAATAGACACAGCATACATGGCAGAAAGGATAGCATCAAATCAAGATCATAGATAGCAACTCCCGCCCTAGACAGCTCCCCCTAGCGAGGGATCTCTGTGGCCTCCGGGAACTGGTGACGCCACGCGTCCGTCAGGTGGCCAAACCAGCGCTGGGTGGGGTGCGCACCCCCACACTGCTCACCCGCACGTTCGCCGGTGCGCAGGACGTAGGTGCACGGACCAAACCCCCACCCCACTGGTGTGCAGTGTACCACTCACGGAGGTGCTGAGGGGACAAGGTCTCACGACCGCGCTGCTGCTGCTAGCGCGGACCACAACCGGAGCCACTCCTCTGCGTAGACCTGCGACCACCTCCACCGCCACCCCCGCCGCCTCCGCCGCCTCCGCCGCCTCTGCTACTACCGCCGCCTCCGCCGCCTCCTCCACCGCCACCGCCGCCGCCGCCTCCGCCTCCACTGCAGCCACCGACACCTCCACCCCCACCTCCACTCCCACCGCCACCCCCTCTCCCCCCGCCGCCTCCACCTCCACCTCCACCGCCCCCGCTCGCTTCCTCCAGTGCCATGGCCCCCCTTGCCCCTGCTAGAGCGGCGTCTCCTGCTAGGGGCAGACGCCGCACCGACCGACTCAAGACCAAGGAGGTCGGCCGCAGCAGCAGAGGCAACAGAGGGCAGAAGGGGGAGGGGGAACACCCCTCAAAGATGGGGGTGCGCGGGTCACCACGAGAGGCCCCTACAGCGACTATGCTCTTCTCGGCCTCTAGGAGGGACTTCTCCAGGAGGTCAACAGTGAGAGTGGTGGGACAGACTGAGAGGAAGTGGTCCCTGACTATGCGAAGGGAGTCAGGAAGGCGAGTGACTATGTAGTAGAGAGTGATGTACATGGGGGGGGGGGGGGGGGGGGGGGGGGGGGTTCTTGGCGCAGAAGTCAGCAGGAAGCGCAGCGCGGGGTAGCGTAGTGTCACTAGTGCGGAGGTGCGTAATGAGGTCAGCGACTGTGGGAAAGGCAGGCAAGGTCAGGGAAGAAGTACGGTAGCATGAGACGGCTCAGTGCAGCAGTGGCAGGGGAGGAGTAGCGTGCAACTACAGCGTCGTACAAGGTCTGAGCACTCTTAACTGACTAAAGTTCGCACGCTCAGAGGTAGGGAGGTGGCGACGCACAGCAAGGCGTGCAGCAGCATCGCGCGTGCCCACTGTGAGCGAACAGTGGCGTCAGCATAAGAAGCAGGAGCAGGAGAGGCACCAGAGGTGAGGTCAAAGAGGGTGAGACCGTCTGCCCTATCGCACTGTAAGAATAGCTGCATGTCATCTACCCAGACGTCAAAGTCAATGGCTCGACCTCGGCGTCAAAAGCGAGGACACTAGGGGTAGCCATGACTGTTGGAATCACAGAACAGGAATGAATGAACTAGCAGTGAAATGAGTACAAGTACCTAACCCTAGAATTGTGTACCCCCTATAGGCTAACCCACTGTAGCCTAAACTAACACAACATATATACTGTTTGACACACCCCCATAGGCAAAGTGGGGGAGAACTAGGGGTCACAAGACCAGTCAAGGCAAAGCAAGGCAAAACAAGCTCAGGGTGGATCTCAAGGATACCACACAAATTCGAGCACAAGCAAGTGGTCACAAGACCAGTTCACATGCAGGTTTATAATAGAGCAAAAGGTACAATGATCACAGCCTAACAAGAGTAAACATGCAGGTATATATATAGAGATCACAGTACAAACAGACTCAAGAAGTAGCAAGTGAGGTCCTGTAGGCACAAGGCCTAGAAGAGTGCAAAAGCGCTGATGGTCACAAGGCTGAAGCACCTTGGTGAACACATCAGCAGTGTTGGCCTCAGAGGCCACGTAACGCAGGCGAAGCTGACCACGCTGCTGCAGCTCTCGAGCAAGGAAGTAACGCAGAGCAATGTGCTTTCGTTCTGTGCTCCAGTCAGTGCTCCTCACACAAGGCAATGGCTGCCTTGTTGTCGACATACAGCACTGGAGGAGAACGAGGCTTCTCTCCAAGGTCGGTCAGCAAGTAGGTGAGCCAGCGTAACTCCTGGGCCGCCATGGCTGTGGCGTAGATCTCAGCCTCACAACTGGAGCTGAGAACAGAAGAAGAACGAGTAGAACGCCAAGAGACAGAGCCAGAGCCAAGACTGAAGGTGTAACCCTGAGACGACGCTGAGTAGCCTGGTCGTCTGCCCAAGAAGCGTCTGAGTGCCCAGTGAGAACAACTGGGACTCGCCCTCCAAGCACTAGCCCCATGCCCGACGTACTGCACAAGTAGCGCAACACCCTCTTAGCTGCATCCATGTGCTCCTTCCCGTGACGGCCGGGAGCGACATAGCGTGCAAGAATGCTGAGAGGGTATGCAAGGTCTGGTCGAGTGCAGGTCATCAGGTACATGAGGCAACCCACAAGCTCTGGATACGGGCCACTCGGCTCTACGGACTCATCCGAAGGCAGAGCTGAGAGCGAGTGACCGGTAGGCAGAGGAGTGGGCTGAGGCGAGGAGTACGTGAAGCGGAAGCGCTGAAGGACCTGCTGCACCATGTGTGACTGAGTCAAGGTGATGGTGCGGCGTGCTCTGTCCCGGGTGATCCGCAAGCCAAGATAGCTTGTCAGTTCACCCAGGTATGTGCACGAGTGTCTCTTCTGCAGCTCCGACTTCACGTGGGCGAGAGCCACAGTGTCAGCAGTAGCAAAGACCAAGTCGTCCACGTACAAAACGACGTAGAGCGGCGGCAGTGAGGTGTCGGTGCGTAGAAACAGCAACGGGTCAGCAGTAGAAGGCGCGAACCCAAGAGCCGCAAGCGTAGTCCTCAGTGTGTCGTGCCACTCACGAGGCGCCTAGCGGAGACCGTAGACTGGCCGTCGGAGGCTCCACTGGGTACCAGGAGGGAACGACCCAGTGAAGCCAGGTGGACGGCGCAGCCAGATCTCCTCGTGCAAGCTGCCCTGCAGGAAAGCAGTGCTGAAGTCAGCGAGTGGGCTCGTAGTCACGCTGAGCGGCAACGTGCAGCAGAACCCGAAGAGTGGTCATCTTCGAGGTCGGGGAGAAGGTCTGGAAGAAGTCAACTCCCTCTCGCTGACTGAAGCCTCGTGCAACGTAAAGCGCCTTGACACAGGCGGAGAGCCCGGCAGCCGCTTCACCCTAAAAATCCACATGCCACTGACGATGTTCGCCCAGGTGGGGGAACCTCGTCGACGTAGGTGCCTGTGGACTTCCAGGAAGCCATCTCTGTGTCCATGGCTGACTGCCACTGAGAGGAGTAGGGACCGGCCATCGCCTCTGCGTAAGAGCGTGGGGTCTGGATGTCTGGTGCATCGGGTCTCCCTCTGGGGCAACAAGCATGGACACGAGATGGGGCAAAGTGGCAGCAAAGCACTCAAACTCCTCCTGCCTGTCCTCAAGGACGTCAGTGCCAAGAGCACACTCACCCCCGACGGACGGAGGACAGACAGACTCAGACTCAGCAAGTAGGCTAGCAGCGTAGTCTAGACGACAGCGAGCAGCAAAGTCGACAAGCTCAGCAACTAAGGCAGACGCAGCAGCAGACTCAAAGGAAGGGTCAGTGACAACAGAAGCCAGGAGACGGGTGACAGTAGGACTGGTAGCACGAAGAGAGTCTGACCCAGGGTCAGCAAGAGCAAGAAGAGAGGAAGCAGGAGGAGACGGCAGTGGGACACGCTGTGGAGTAGTGGACGGACGAAGCGCCATCCTGTGAGTGCCTGGGATAGCAGGAAGACGCTGACGCTGGACTCGACTAATAGAGAGAGCTGTGCGGACAGGCGACCCAGGACGAGACTCATGCGACGCAGGACGAGACGCAGGCTCACGCCGCTCAGTAAGACCTCCAATCGGACCAGTGTAAGGAGCAGACCAGGGAGAGAGGAGGCAGACGGTAACTCGACTGCAGCTAGACAGGCGGAGGACACGCTAAGGAGGAGGAGGAAAAGGAGGAGGAAGCTGACCAAGAACCTGCTGAAGGAGCGGAACAAAGTACGGCCGAGACCGAGCAGGCGACACCAGAGCCAGCAGGGACACCCGCACCAGGGTCCGCAGCACCAGCAGCAGCTCCAGCGCCCACGTCCTCAGCACCAGCGGCAAGCTCCAACGCTCGGGTCCTCAGCACCAGTAGCAGCTCAACGCCCGGGTCCGCAGCACCAGCGGCAGCTCCAACGCCTGGGTCCTCAGCACCAGCAGCAGCTCCAACGCCCGGGTCCTCAGCACCAGCAGCGGCTCCAACGCCCGGGTCCTCAGCACCTGCAGCAGCTCCAACGCCCGGGTCCTCAGCACCAGCAGGAGCTCCAACGCCCGGGTCCTCAGCACCAGATGCAGCTCCAACAGCAGCGAAGTCCGTAACACGAGGCACGCCACTCCGAAGAGTGCAGCGCCGCTCGTACCACTCACGGATCCGCTCGCGGGAGGGGGAGGCTCCCGAACGGGAGAAGAAGCACCAGTCCCAGTAGTACGTCCGACTCGAGCGGTACCTCTCGCGGACGCTGCAGTACTCTAAGTACCACGCACTCAGCTGCTCCGAGGAGAGGGCTCCTCCAGGTGCAGGACTCACAGGCCTAGTACCGTCCAGACTCAGAACCCCCAGACTCCAGACTCCGCAGCTCAGCACCACGAGGCTCCACACCCCCAAGCTTAGCACCCTCAAGCTCCACACCCCCAGGCCCCACACCCCTCAAGCTCCACACCCCAGGCTCCACACCTCCAGGCTCCACACCCCCAGGCTCAGCACCCCCAGGCTCAGCATCCCCAGCAGGACGAGAGTCGACAGCTACCTCAACAGGCTCAACCGGGTCTACCTGAGACACACCTGAGGGTGCGGCACCCTGAGGTGGGAGGGGGTCTGCAACAGCAGCACCCTGGCGCGAGGAGAGAGGCGGGGGGGGGAGCGGGGCAGTGCGGTAGGGGAAGAGGCGGTAGTAGGGGACGGACTCGTCAAAAGTGACGTCCTGGGAGGGCAAGACTCGGCGCGAGGTGGCGTGGTAAAACTGCCAACCAGACGCGTCCGGGACAAAGCCAAGGAAGACGCAGGGAACAGCACGGGAGGAGAGCTTGTTCGCAGACGAATCGCGGACAAAACCTCGAGACGCCCAGACCCGGAAACGCGACGCATCGCCAACCTCCCCCGTCCACATCAGCGTGGGCGAGGTCTCCGGCAAGGAGACACGGGGCTTGAGGTTGAGCTGATGCGCAGCGTACCGGACCGCAAACGGCCACAGAAAGTGGGGGGCAGCCGCATGGATCAAGGAGGTACGGGCGACCTCCATGACCAGGCCAATGCGGCGCTCCGCAACCCCATTCTGCTGTGGAGAAGCCGGAAGCGTGAACGACTGCTCAATGCTGTGCTAGCACAGTAGGCTGCCAAGAGTTCGCAGGAGAACTCACCACCTCTGTCAGAGTGCAAGCGCAGGACAGGAAAGTCCGAGTGAAAACGCTCGCTGAGCTGGAGACGGGCTCTGCGGATCCAAGAGATCAAGACATCAGGGACCTCACCCTAGGTGCGCAAGGGGAAGACCGAGTGTGTAGCGCGAGTAATCGTCAACAACTATCAGGAAGTACCTCTCCTGACCCTGACCACGGACGCGGGCTGGGCCCCACACGTCCATGTGGAGTGTCTGCAAGGGAGCAGTCGTCGGGGGGAACGAGGAAGAGTGAGGAGCGGCGCGCTGCCGTCCCTCGACACAGGGGAGACAGGTAGGAGCACGCGAGGGTGGGGAGGGCAGGAAGGACCCTGGGCAGGCAGAGACAAGGTACCGGGAGTGCATGGCACGAAGCCGCTACACAGACGGGTGGCCAAGGCGGTGGTGCCAGAGGACAGTCTCGTGTGCCAAAGAGCGACACGAGCAGGGGGCCGAGAGCTGACCTGACGCGGACGCGGACGCAAGTCGCAGCAACCTGAGGGGACTCAGTAGTCAGTGTGTACAGGTCCAACCCCGGCTGCCGAGTGAAGGTAGCCAAGTGACGGCCCGTACGAGCACCGTACAGTGTGTCACGCGCTCGTAGGCAGGGGTGAACTGGTGAACACCCCGTCCTGGAGTGCACAATCCTGCCACCAAGTTCGTAGAGAACGAGGGGAGGTGAGACCTGACAGTATGCCCGACGGGACCGCAGAGCAGGGAAGGACAGTGGAAGAGGTCGCAATGACCGGACCCAGGAGGGCTGTCGCCAGGAGGGTCAGCAAGGGAGAGAGCAACTGGCCGAGCAAGCGGCTCAAGGGCAGTGCGATCACGAAAGAAGCAGCGAGAAGCACCTGAGTCCAGTCTGAAGGTGTGAAGTGCGGCAGT